CCTACACCAAACAAACCCATGCAGACCACAACAAAGACCAGACCCGTACTGTCTGAACCTAATCCTAAACCAGCGAAGACCAAACTGACAGCGGCACTAAAGAAAAATGAGCCTGATGAACTCAAACCAGTGCGGGCCCTGAAAACAACCAGGCCAAAAAAGAGAAAAAGAGGAAGGCTAACAAGGATTAAGTCATCAAGGATAAGAGCCTTGGAGTTTTTAATTTAAACTAAGGCCCAATCCCAATTCTATTTTATACCCCTTCCCCTACCCCTTTGCCTACCCCTTCCTCTGGTCCCTTGAAACAGACTGTTAAGGGGTAGGGGTGAAAATATTCCCCTAAGAATTGGGACACCACTACTATGCCATCACACATCATCATACGTCAATACCATAGATTGTATAAAAACATGGACGTAGTGTCAGTGACGTCACCCGTAGATTTCCGAAGAGCGTTTTTGAAGCTCAAAATTGGGCGGAGGCGGCTGTCGCCATCTTGGCAGCGCATCACCGCGCGTCACTCCCGGATAATCGAAAATGGGCAAAGAGGCGGGAGCAGGTTGCTGAAGCCATGCCCACCTAGCTCGACGGTGGTGACAGCAGCGGCAATCCACCTGTCCCTCAAGTGGCCACGCCCTTAATTATGCAAAACTTTAAGGCTTAATATAATTTAAACAGATGAGTTGTAAAAAAAATTCACCCCCTCACAGTTGTCATCAAGGGCAAAATTAACTATATAGACCAAAATAATTTTTTGAACCAGGCTGTAAACGTTTTTTTTCTGCTGTAAAGTTGGGCATTTTAACATGGGGAGTCTATGTGATTGACTCCCTTTTGCAGCCAGCCTCTAGCAGCCAGTTGATGAATTACAGTTTAAATCACTTCCTTGTTGGCTTCACGAGAGAGAGCGGGATGTTGCTGCTTGGTCAATACACACCCCTATGCTGGTGTGAATTAGAGCCTTTAATTATCGTTCTATATTAATGCGCTGCTTACTGACACATACACACACACACACACATATCAGAGATCACGCAGCTCACACATTCAGGAGCAAAGATACTTGTCAACGCTGCCCCACGTCTTTTATTAATAACAGTTTAAATACTGAATTGCTACATTATATTTTCCAGCAACAAGAGGATAAAATCTCTGTTTTTGAAGTAAACTCACTCTAAAAAGAGAAACGCACAGACGCGCATACACGCAACTTCCATCTCTCTCTCTCTGTCTCGCTCTCGAATTGGCAAAATTTGAGAAAAGGGTTTAGCGATTTATAATTATTGGGGGGGACTAGCCCCCCTCAATGTCTATGGTGGTTAGCACCCTGATCAGACATGAAAATATGTTGTGGCACTATCGTGCAGTCTGTAATGATATGACGTTAGCAAACTTGAGCAATTTTTTGCAAACATTTCTTTGAGTAGCATGACCGTAAATATGAACTCACGATTGAAAGTAACATAAAACAAATGATTACTTTTCGTTAAAATCTTTATTAATGCCCAAAAATGCTTACATTATGTGTCTTTTGTTAGCTCGCGCAGCCGTGTTGCCGCTGTAGCCGGTTTATGCTGAGATAATTCATACCCCTTCGGTTGACGTGCCCTACAACCACCCCTTCCCCTACCCCTTCCCCTACAACCACCCCTTCCCCTACCCCTACCCCTACAACCACCCCTACCCCTACCCCTTCCCCTACAACCACCCCTTCCCCTACCCCTTCCCCTACAACCACCCCTTCCCCTACAACCAAAAGAGAATCGAGACACCCCTACCCCTTCACGTGACCGCGCTAAACGGAGGGGGTAACGTTAGGGGAAAGGGGGAGGGCTAAGGGGTAGAATTGGGATTGGGCCTAAGAGGTCGAGGATAATGTGAAATATTAGTCTGGTGAATAAATTTGGTGTTATTACTGCTGTTTGTTTGTTTACAAGTAAAGCAGATAAAGATATTGTCACCGAATTTGCCACTGTATTCAGTATTTACATTCACTGCTCATAGTTCTTAAATGCGCAATGTGTTTCAGGGCAGAACAGAATAATTTTGAATATGTGAAACATTCCAGCAAACGTTGTTGTCTTTTGCCATATATGGCGCAACTCATAAATGTTAAGAATGTGTCATTTCAAATAAAAATAAAAAATTGTTCAAGAATTTATCTTCACGAAACTAAATACCTAAATATTCCACCTCGTATACTAACTGGTTCCATGGTGTAATGGTTAGCACTCTGGACTCTGAATCCAGCGATCCGAGTTCAAATCTCGGTGGAACCTGCTCTTTTTCACTTACCTGTAATACAGTAGAGCTTACTTTACCATCGATGTGCTGCGAACACCAACTTTTCAAGTATGTTAATATGTTTTAATATAAGCAGGATTCTAAACAGCGCAGCCTTGCTCTATTTTACGGGCAACCAGTCCGCTGATTATTAAACTAAGGAACTATGCGATCTCACTCACTCTCGCGAGATCACATTAGCAAACATGGCGGCCGCGATGGATGTAGACACCCCGGGTGGAGCTAACAGTGGAGCCAGTAAAAAGCGTTTTGAAGTGAAAAAGGTACAGTATTGAGACGTCAGTGTTAAGTAATGATGTTAGGTATATTATACATTTAAACAGCTTAGTCTCTTTCAAATGTAAACTGTTTCACAGCGGCGTGTTTATAATCCCCGATTAGCATCGGCGGCGCTGCTGTTGCTCATCATTATCTATGCTAATCACTTGCCTGCGTTCTTTTTATGATTACAGCCAGCTTTTAATATGTCCCGTAAATATTTGGAACCTGATATCAAGTCGACACATGCAACTTGGGCGTTCTTGACTCTTCTGATTTGATCTCTAGTAATTTCTGCTGCGTAATCCGAGAGATTATTAAACCAGGCCACTGGATAAATGACTTCGTAGTCGTTCTAAACGTTCGATTCGATCACATTCCGACGCGTCTGATTCTTCTAGCACTTTAAACATCCATCAGGGTAGTTCCATTCTGTTTCTGAAGTAAAATGAACATGGTAATCATTTAGTACCACAGTATATATATATATACACATGAAAGTTCCATGATATTACCTTGTAAATTCACTCAATTTTGACATGTATTTTCTGAGTGTGTATGGATTGTAGATCTGTAACAGTTGTTTTATTTGGATCCCAGTCTCACTGGAAAATGTAATTATTTTGCCAACTTTTATTTAGTAACCATTGTGATGTGAATCGTACAAAAACATACCAAGTTTAGGGGGGAAAAAAACAGCATAAATGTCCACCACTAAACATAACTGTCACCGAGGGGGTAATCTAATTGTACAAAAACACACATTGTATGAGTAAGTAAATGTGAAATAGTTAGGAATTGCCATGAAGTTGTGTTGAGAGACCTGATCGGTTGAATTAATTCCAGAACTGTGTTTCTCTTGCAGTGGAATGCTGTTGCTCTGTGGGCGTGGGACATTGTGGTGGACAACTGTGCCATCTGCAGGAATCACATTATGGACCTCTGTAAGTATCAGCTCCCGTTTGGTCTCATCTGACTCTATTCTATTGTAGTTTCTTGTTTAACACACTTTCAACTGCTATTTAGTGAGCTGTCATGGTTCATCTTCCTTCAGGTATAGAGTGTCAGGCCAATCAGGCGTCAGCTACATCAGAGGAGTGTACAGTGGCCTGGGGAGTCTGTAATGTGAGTATGAACACATCTACACCAACCAACTAGGCCTGTATTTGTTTTGCTGAAATCAAAAGTGTGGACTGTGGTCTCTTCGGGTGTGTTATTACTGTGTGTTTTTGGTTCTGCAGCATGCGTTTCATTTCCACTGCATCTCTCGCTGGCTGAAGACCAGACAGGTGTGTCCTCTGGACAACAGAGAGTGGGAGTTCCAGAAGTGAGTGATTTTGTTTCTTCGTTAAAAAAAGCGGCAGACCCAGGACCTGTATTAATAGAGAATCCTAATTCACTTAAACATCAGTCGAGACCTCTTGATCCGGGTCTAGATAACCTGTATCATGTTGAACTTTATTAGGATACACATATGATTGATGTTAAATACTTTTGATTCAATTATCAGCAGTTATACATGCTATAAATGATTTGTTTCCCCCCATTATTTGTCATTCAGAAGGGATCATGTATTGTTGTTCTAATCCCACATTTTCGGACATGTCTTTTATTGGTTGTAAATGTCCATGCTTGTATTAATAATCATCTTTTGTTGCTCTGTTTTTCAGGTACGGCCATTAGCAGCAACTGTGCTGCTCAGTGTCTGTGCTTCAGATCTAGGATGTTCTTTCCTGAGATGCATTTTTGTTGTCACCATTCTCTCCCTGTTAAAGACCAAACGGTCCACATTGAAATTGTTCCACATTGAAATTGTTACGGTGTTTTTTTGGTGTTATGTGCAGCATTCTGAGCTGTAAATTACTAATGAAGTCACTATAAATTCAGCTCCATCAGTTCCAATATTTCTGAAATGTAATTGCATTCTAAAACAACTCAAATATTTCTGTGCTGCTGTTAACTTTAGGCTTTGTTAAGAGACTTAACAAGCCCAGTCACTTTATCTCATGTTAAATAAAAAGTAATGTGGAGAGAAGTTTATTCTCAGAGTTCTGATCTCAATGTTTGACTGAGTTGAAGGAACCCGGTTCTAGGTCAGTTCACATTTGAAGAGATGCCTGTATTGTACTGTACCTATACTGTATATATTACATATAAACAGTACTGGAGTCTTACTAGTCTATTGAACACTAAAAACGATGTTTTGAAGAATGTTGGGTAACCAAGTAGTTGACGGTAGCCATTGACTTCCATAGTATTTTTTTCCCATACTATAAAAGTCAATGGCTACCGTCGATTGTTTAGCTACTCGCATTCTTCGAAATACCATCTTCTGTGTTCAGCATAACACAGAAACTCATACAGGTTTGGAACAACCTCAGAGTGAGTAAATAATGACACAATTCATTGCAAGGCCGTAAATAAACAGATGACTTGTATTTGCAACAACCAAAATGTTTATTGAATTAAATCATGAAATCCATACAAGACGCAAATTTGTCACAATAAGAAAGTTGTTCACAATTGAATTTTGCATTGAGGGTAAGGAGAGCAAAAAAAGAACTAAAGAACAAAAACATGAATCAAAAACCTTTAAAAGGAACACCCATGAAATCTTAACAGGAAGTGATTGACTGATTGCTTTGGACAGTGAATATGTATGAATATAATCTATACCCCATTTTGATCCTGATCCCGCTGGATAAGACCACAAACAAACTATGTAGCATACTGAATGGTTGATGTTGGATTATAATTAGACTAATTCCCTGGAATAACTGGCTGCTGAATGGACACGTTTGTTAAGTTCGTCAATGCAGCAACTGTCGGCTATAATAGGCTCTCAAATCTGAAACCCGATATTCTGGAGAAGAGACCAGGATCGTAAGTGCTAAATGTGTTAGCCTCAGTGAAGCCCACAATATAGTTTGTCCCCAACAAAGCTTTAAAGGAATAAACCCAATTCTTAGTTCATGCGTCACTCAAGCGACTCCCCCCACCCCCCCAAAAAAGCGCCACATCTCACATCTGGTCTTGTTCCGATACTCTTTCATAGTTTCTTCTGCTTTCATCAGCACAGTCCACTCATCTAAAAGCAGTATCTAGCATCTCATAAGCTAAGTGCTGTCTGTAATTTATGGCAAGAAACCCAGTGAGAAAAAGCTACAGCAGAGTATTGGAACAGGACACAAATTCTTTTGGCCTTTTTTAGGGCTGCTGGCCACCAAACTTGGAGCCGAGTTTGTTGATCAGGGTCATGATTTTGGGGTTGCTCTGGTACTTGGCGATGTTAGCGGGGTTCTGTGCCACATCCTGGAATGCTGCCATCACCTCTGGGTCCTGGAAAATAGTCAGTCACTATAGTCAGCTGAGACGCTCAGGAATGTCAGATACAGTAAAGTTTATTATGGACATTTATGAATATGGTTCAATACTATTGCTAACTAACCCAAGTAACCCAAAATAGGAACAATAGTAATAGCGATGAACAATCTCAATTGTTTATTTATTACTACAATGTATTGTGAAGCATCTGTCAAACAAGAATAAATTCAGATTGGGTTCAGTAAGATTTTTTAAAATAATAATAAAATAAAAAAAGAGATTAATAAATTTTTTTTCAGCAATCTTTACATCTATTTTGAAAGATGAAGCTCGCGATTATGGTAAGGGGCGTTACATTTCCGACGAGTGCTTGCAGTGTTCGGCCAATCACAATGCACTGGGTCAGCTGGCCAATCAGAGCAGACTGCGCTTGTCGGAAGGAGGGACTTTGTAGAAAAGGAAGCGTTTGAGAGAGGCGGGGCATAGAGGACCTACAATAATGTACAGTATTTGAAAAATAATGTGCTTTTTGAACATTAAAGCATGTCAACATATTCGGTTACACCAAATAATGATCTTTTAAAAAAGCATCATATGACCCCTTTAAAAATAGATCAAAAGTGACAGCAAAGACATTTGCATCGTTACAAAAAAAGTCTATTTGAAATATTCTGTTTTTGAAAATCCGATTTGTTCTTTTGAAATGTATTAATCAAAAATTGTTTTCAACATTGGTAATGATAATAAATGTTTCTTGAGCAGCAAATCAGCATCTTAGAATGATGTGGAAGGATCATATGACGCTGAAGACTGGAGTAATGATGCTGAAAATCCAGCTTTCACTCACAGAAAGAAATTACATTTTAAAATAAAGTGCAAATTATTTTTAATTGTAATAATATTATTTAGCTGTTTTACTGTATTTGTGATTAAATAAAGTCAGAGAACTCAGAAACTTCTTTCAAAACATTTTAAAAATCTTACCAATCCCAAACTTTTGGATGGATGTGTAATTGTTCATTCATGATTGCAATGTTTAGTGAAGGATTTGTGAACTAAGAATCATCATAAATGTGTTGAGAACCATTTATACAGGTTTCCCATAGTTTTTGAACAATGCATTTCTGTGAACGTTCCAGTTGTCTGTCGTAAGACTTCTAAAAATGATTCAAATCTAGACTTATACCAATGAATCAATCTAATGAACTGATAATGAACCAGAGCTAATTGTGAACTGCTTTGATCAAATTATTGTAAAGACCAACATAAAAGTATGATTCTGTCCTAAACTGGTTATCACTATGGTTTTGTCTCTACATAAGATCAATACTTAGCCAATTAAATATTTTACCGCTGAGCTTAACGAGAAAAATCACCATCGACCTTTCCATGATTTTCAAAAATTTTATTGATTGAGACGACTTCTTTGGTCCTGAAAAATACAATTTATAAATTCCCTGATAATTTCAGGCTTTCCTTGACTTTAGACTGTAGTCTATGCATTTGTTAAAGGGTTAGTTCCCCCAAAAATGAAAATTCTGTCATTAATTACTCACCCTCTTGTTGTTCCAAACCCGTAAGACCTTTGTTCATCTTCGGAACACAATTTAAGATATTTTTGATGAAATCTGAGGGCTCTCTGACCCTCCCATAGACAGCAAGGTAACTACCACGTTCAAGGTCCTGAAAAGTACCAAGATGATCGACAAAGTAGTTCGTGTGTCATCAGTGGTTCAACTGTAAAGTTACGAAGCTACAAGAATACTTCTTTGCGCAAAGAAAACAAAAATAACGAAAATGTGGAATGAAGTCGTTATTTTTGTTTCCTTTGCGCAAAAAAGTATTCTCGTAGCTTCGTAACTTTACAGTTGAACCACTGATGTCACACGGACTACTTTGTCTATCATCTAGGGATGCTCCGATCCGCCTTTTTCGCCTCCGATACCGATTCCGATACCTAGGGTTCGGTATTAGCCGATACCGATTCCGATCCGATACCAGTGAATTTTTTTTAAGTCCTTTTTGCAAAATCATAGACATGTATTTACAAATCAAGTATAATGGGAGCACAGAATGATCTTGGAGAGAGCTTTACCGAGCTGACTGCTGTAACCGAACGCGACCAGTGTTTTAAAGGCTGAACGAATGACTGACAGCCACAGCGGAGAAAAGAGTTTGTGTGAACTTTAATGTAAGGACTTAAATATTCATATGTAGCTCACATTAAGCTATCGTATGGCTTCAGAAGTAACACACAATAATTCGCACAATCGGAAAAAATAAAAATAAAAATAAGAAACTCTCGGATTTGGATCAGTTCTCTCTGCCCGATACCCGATCCGAGAAAAATGGCACTATCGGAGCCGACACCAGATATGAATATCGGATCGGCGCATCCCTACTATCATCTTGGTACTTTACTTGAACGTGGTAGTTACTTTGCTGTCTATGGGAGGGTCAGAGAGCCCTCAGATTTAATCAAAAATATCTTAAATTGTGTTCCGAAGATGAACAAAGGTCTTACGGGTTTGGAACAACAAGAGGGTGAGTAATTAATGACAATTTTCATTTTTGGGTGAACTAACCCTTTAACTCTGTTTAAATGCACCGTCCTTGTGCTCCGCAGTATGTGGTTAACTTTACCTGCATGGACATGAGAACCTCTGGATCATTAAATAGCTCGTTAAGTCCAGCCATTCCAAACGGAGGAGCTCCACCTGGGAAACCAGCACCTCCTGAAGGATCACAACAGATACTAACATCAATTATACAATTTCAAACAACAAAAATTGTTGATATTCAGTGCTTGCAGTAACCTCTCTTAATGCCTGACAAATCAATACGGCTTATTACATAAACATATACATAAACAGTTAGATACCTGGGAATCCTGGGAATCCTCCTTGTGCTCCTCCGGTCTGTTGTCTGGCTTCCTCTTCCTGCACACACAGATGCACATTAACAGGACTGTGCAGAAAATTCAGATTCAGTGGCTTGATGCAAATCAATAGATTTCTTACCCTCTGTGCTCTCTCGTGCTCCTCCCTCGCTTTCTTCACTCGTTCTTGCCGTGCTCTGATCTCTCGTTCTTCACGCTTGCGCTCATATTTGCGCCGGTGCTCAATGATTTTGTTGGCCTGTGTGGGAGAGGTGGGATCACATGAGCCACATCGACCTTTCTGCACACTCCGTTTGCTTTTGATGTTTTCAAAAAACGCACTCAAGCTTAAATAACCATTATTTTGCACAATCACAATATCACTAGTGATTTTCAATCATTCACTACCATTCAAATACTACCATTTTAAATACACACTACTGTTTAAAATTTTGGGGTCTGTACGATTTCATTTTTGTGGAATTTTTTTCAAAACTGACAGGAAAGACATTTATGTTACAAAATAGTATTTCAAATAAATTCTGTTCTTTTGAACTTTCTATTTATTAAAGAATATAGTTTCACAAGAATAAATTACATTCTGAAATATAATCAAATAGAAAACAGCTATTTTAAATTTTAATAAAATTTCACAATATTACTGTTTTAATGTATTTATATCAAATATATGTAGCCTTTGTGAGCTTAAGATTCTTCTTTCAAAAACATTAAAACATCTTATCAATCCCAAACTTTGAACAGTGGTGTACTTGGGTCAGTGATGTAAGCAATAGTAATATGCTAATTTTATAAACAATGCTTATATTCTGTCCAGATATATTAAAAAACATTAAAAGCGGAATTCAATATTATTAAATTATGGTAAAATATATATTCAAAATCAGTGGTGGACGAAGTACACAAATCAAATACTTGAGTAAAAGTACAGATCCGTATAATAAAATATTACTCCAGTAAAATTAAAAGTACTCAGTTTTCAATTTTACTCGAGTGAAAGTACAAAAGTACTTTTTTTTATGTACTTAAGTAAAAAGTACAGATAGATGAATGTTTATTTTGCAGTTTTATATAGGCTACATTTATCATTTAATTTTATATTAGCATATATGTTTTTATAATCCTACTGCTCAAAATACCTGGGATTTTCCCAAAATAACCAATAAGAAAATAATGAATATAATAAGGAAAATATAATTCAATTTTCATAATGATTTTTTTCTTCTCAAACCTTGTCTGTGGTGTAAAAACACCCCTGGCCAAATGCCCCCAGAGGGCATCACTTCCCACTTTGATAATTACTGTAGTTACCATGTTCTGAACATCACATCTTTTCTTTTTCCCTTAGATGTAATCTATCTAGATGCTTGAATAAAAATATTTGGACTTTATATATTTTTGATTACCTCAATTTTGCACTAGCAAGCTAGTTAGCTAGACAGTTAGCATCAGCTAACATTATTGACTTATTTTCAGCATGGTTATGAAAAAATATTTGTCTACTCGGCTAGTTGATCCAGATACATAGTAACTTAGGCTATGTGTGCGGACAAACAATATAAAAACAGACGTCACATAGGGCTAAATGCATAGCATTTTAGTAAAACTACTAACGTTATTAGCAGCAGGGAAGATGAACGTGCATTAATTATTTTATTTAATCTGTGTTATTTTAATGTTTTTTGAACTAAAACATAGAGACTCTGATGTTAATGTGTCTGCATTCAAGCATTTCAGTGGGCTTAAATAGATCACCCTTTACAGCAGATTTAGTTCACAAACAACTGACAGCTTTGACCTAAATATGATTTTCAGTTACAATAATTAATTCTAAAATTCGACATTAGTAACTTAGTAACACAAGATCTCCCGGTTCTTACTTGTGAATTCAGCTCACTGGAGACTCGCACTAAACGGATCAATCAGTGAGTTGTCGACTCGAGAACAGCTGCAATCGGATCATTCTAATTTGTGAATGAATCGTTTGGTGCGATTTGCGAACCGATTTAACAGGTTCAATGAAAAGAATCAGTTCATTCATGAATCAGACACCGCTTCTGCATCTCGGAGCACGTGATATAAGGAGTAACGAATAGTTTTATGAAATGTAGTGAATTAAAAAGTACGATCTTATGCTTTGGAATGTAGTGAAGTAAAAGTAAATGTTACTCAAAATAAAACTACTCCAGTAAAGTACAGATACTTGAAAAATATACTTAAGTACAGTAACGAAGTAAAACTACTTTGTTACTGTCCAAAATGCAGGAAGCCATTTTGTTGTCATGTCATGTGACAAGAAAACTATAAAACAGAAAATTATATCATAAAAAAAACATGCAATCCATTATGACTATCAAATTTGAGTTCAGAAGTCTTTCAAAAATGCCAAATAATTTGACATTACACAGCAAGTCTAGTTCATGAAAATTCATTATATTTATACAAACACTTTTGATGTTTTTAAAATATAAAAGGCCTTAAATATAAGCTTAAAATTGAAGCTATTAGTATTACTATATTATTCGATTAAATTACATCATTCAAGAGGGTTCTCCAGGTGGCAAATTAATACTGTTCTCCAAAAAATAATTAAAGCAGCTCAGCTGTCTTTGTGGAAGGGTCATAAACAAGAGTTCAGCACATATACCTTTGGTTGGACTTCTTTTAGCATGGCACTGGCCTCATCATCATAGTCCAGCTTACAGGCCATCACTAAGTCTCGAGCGGACTCCTCCCAGTGGCCAAGCAACCTGTAAGAATGAGAGATCTTCATCAGCAGCAAAGCACTGAGCTCAAGTGTCAAGGCAGAAATCACACCTCTTCTATGAAAATCTAGCTGTGGTCTTTTACCTGTGTGCCTTCCCCCTCCACTTATAAGGCTGGGCTGAGTCTGGGTTGATGCTGATGGCTCGGTCACAGTCTCTGATGGCAGCGTTGGGTTTCTGCATTTTCACAAATACGCTGAAAGACACAAATAGACACGGGTAACCAACAGCCAATCACAGCCAAACAAAGCAGGTCGCTAAAAACCAAAGCAGGGATGGGTTGATACCTGGCTCTTTTGGCATACAAAATGGCCAGTTTCGGGTTGAGTTTGATGGCCTCTGTGAAGAGATCTAGAGCTTTCTGTAGGTCACCTGAAAAGTTGGCATGTTTTGTTGAACCTCATGATTTCATCATGAATTATTACTACAACTAAGGAAACTTCAACTACGATTACATTATTACAGATTTCATAATTTCGAGTAGACGGCAGCTCACCGTCTCCCAACACTCCAATAGCCTCCATCTTCTTCTCATTGGCCTGGTCCATCATCTCATCTGTGACCTGCGATTAAAGAAAGCATTTCATAGTCCCGTATAATTTCACTTAACACTAAGAGCTTGATGAAAGACTTTAATGATGAAAAATTGGATCACAAGCAGATACAGGACACCCTCAGTCGATTATGACAGTATTTTGAAAGAGCAACCAAACAACAAAGTCATGGCACCAGTGGATGTCTACGATGAATATGGGAACATTTACAACCTCACATTGTTTAAACAGCTTTGCCGTTGATTTAAAGGAGTCACATCAAGTCAAATTAAAATGTAAGTCCAGGCTTGCTTAATGTGGTTTCTCATGACCATTTTCTACCCTCTATCTATCTATCTATCTAAACATGTTCTTTTTATGTGAAAAGAGTACCTGTGGTTTGGGATTTAGCAGGACTTTTTTTGGCTTCTGCAGCCCAAAAGGACTGAATTTGCTGTGGCATCTATCAAAAATTGTGGCAATATATGTTGCATCTTTTGAGTGGAAACCCACCAATAATTATTATGTAATTAGTGTTAGTAAGAGTACAATTTCCTGTTAAAATACTTTGTGCACAATGCATAATTACTAAAATTACACACTAACTTAGCTAACCTCAACCCTCTAATTAATGTTTTGTTTTTTAATTGTGTAAATAAGAAGAAACCTGCAAGCTGCCACAAATAATGTGGCAATCGGTTGAATTTGCATTAATGCTTGTAAACGCAAATTCCAGGGGGGACTCATATGTTTTGAACGTTTTTGCAGCTCAAGGCTGGAATACACTGCTTTTGCCCATATTTTTTGCACCGACTCTAGTCGCCAAAAGTCAGCCAGTCTGCAGATTTGAGTTGACAGGTTTCATAGAAAATCACATAGTGTGTGATGGTCACAGTCTCCATCCAGTCCATTCCATTCAGTTGACAATATCAAACACGTTTGTTATTTCAAGCCAGAATGACTCACAAGTCTGGTAGTGTATATATAATCCTCAGTTGTTTAGTGTATGATGCACAGTTTTTCTTCCGTAACTATTTACAAAGTAAGCAAGTGTATGACACCTAGTTCAGATTTTAAAAGTTGTATAATGTATTCCAGCCTTTAGATTCAACATATGGTCTTTTTAGACCGAGGAGAAAGTTTTGAGTTCTGAACTTTGCAGTATGTTTTCATACTACATATCTCAAAGGATTGTGGAAATTTTGATTTGTCACGATATTGTGCGTTCACTGCATTTACCTCCAGGTTTTCGTAATCTCCCATCTCCTGAGGATCATCTGTGTCAGGCTCAATCACTCCTTCATTATCAATTTCTGGAGAAATGAATGCCAGATGAAGTTCACATAACAGCGTAAGTATTAGAAACTGTTGTTACAAAATAAGAGCATATTCTCCAAACAGACATTAGCAAATGATAAAACTCCCCAAGTACCAAATGAGATTAAAAACTGACTATGCAAAGTAAAGCTTTACAGGCCAGTTAGCTGCTAGCATTTTTAGGGATTGCAACATAATATATATATGCTACAGCAGTCACTAAGAGTGTTTTTTTAATTAATAATTTTACTCCGCTAGAACGCATTAAATAGATTAAAAGTGATAGTAAAGACATTTATGATGTTCTAAAAGATTTCTATTTCAAAGAAATGCTGTTCCTTTGAACTTTCTATCTATAAAAACATCTTGAAACTGTTTTGCAACATTGATAGCAATAAGAAATGTTTCTTGAGCATCAAATCAGCATATCAGAATGATTTCTGAAGGATCGTGTGACACAGACTGGAGTAATGATGCTGAAAATTCAGCTTTACACCACAGGAATAAATTACATTTAAAAATATATTCAATTTAAAAAATGATATCTTAAATTCTAATAATATTTCAGCTTTTTCTGTATTTTTGATCAAATAAATGCAGCCTTGGTGAACAGAAGAGACTTCTTTCAAAAACATAAAAAAAAATGTTAACAACCTAAAACTTTTAAATAGTAGAGCACTTGAAATTGGTGATGTACACAAATTTTAATGAGGTTCAGCATCAGTGACTATTGCACCTTTTAACAGCTTCTTTACCTTCAGAAGTTTAGGTAAAAGCAAAAAGCTACTTTTTTACCTCCACAGTCAAAATATTTCAGCCTCTAGTTTCCATGATACTGCAAAACAGACTATTTGAATAGTTAAAATTTAATATTTTAATAAAGGTTAATTTTAGAGCCTAGATATCAGCTTCACATCAAACGCTGTTGGCATCCGTTTCTACTGATTGCCCTAGTTTGAATATCAGAAACGAAGCTGATGTTGCACACTGCCATAGAGCGAGAAATCGTGAGCCAGGTGACATCAGCAATAGCTGGAAAAAGTTTAGAGAAAGTTCAGAGCCATTACCAATCCACAAAAAAAGGCCAGAGCGATGGCCTATCAAGATGGCATATGACGAGCAAACAAAAGATATTAAAGGAGATATTAGAGTCAACATACCTAATTCGCTCTCTTCACTCTCAGATGGCGGGGCAGGTTCGGGTGCTGCCGCTGCTTTGGGGGCTCCATCACACGGACAGCTTCCCTACAGACAAATGAAAACACAACAATGGCAATCTTTAGAAAATAACATGAAACAGCCACAGTTGCAGATCACGTACAGTAGCATGAATCTAAAGCACTCACTTCAGAGCTTTTCAGCGTTTCATTTGAGGAAAAACTTCTGTCAAATACACACTGAAACGCAAATTATATAACTATTGTATAATAAAATGTAATTCTTAAAGTAATGATATTTTTTTTTAAATCATACAAAGATATTTTTCATCCACATTTTAATTTATGCAGTTCTGTTTTGTCTTATTTGACAAAAAAATAACAATTAAATGCTTTGTTGCAAATTGTGTGATATATTAATTTGATTGCATTTTAAAACATTGATTAAAGCTGCAGTCCCTAACTTTTTTGGTTAAAAATGATCCGAAATCAATATTTGAGCAAGTACATAACCAGCCAGTGTTCAAAACTATCGCCTTACATTAGCCCGATTCACAACGGTTAGCTTATAAAAATGTTTTCTAATTTGAGTGGTACGGGTAGATTTTCCCTGGAAATTCGAGCATGCCGCTGCGTCATTACGTCACTTCTATAAACATAAAGAAGTTGTCCCGGCTACTAGGCTATCGCATGTGACTGAGGATCCTGCAGGTGGCCGATTGTTTGTAGCCTTTTCTCACAGCAGCTATAATTAAATGTATCAATTTGATGGCAGATTGTAATCCAGAAAGGATTATGTGTTTATGAAACACATGTGAATGAAATTTAATTATATTCCAGTTTTAAATGTGCTTCTGATAGCCTGGGATTACACAAGATTTGTATTTTAAAGAAAACCAGTTCGAAGGGAGCATAATTTGCTTTTTGGGTTAAAGAATTTCTTAATATGAAATTCGAATGGTATGACAATTAGAGATTAGACTGTCCAGAAATTGAGATCTACACGCTAATACACTCTTAAAAATAAAGGTGCTTCACGATGCCATAGAAGAACCTTTTTGTCTAAATGGTTCCATAAAGAACCTTTAACATCTGAAGAACCTTTCTGTTTCACAAAAGGTTCTTTGTGGTGAAAGAAGGTTCTTCAGATTATAAAAAGGTAAGAAAGAGATGGTTCTTTAAAGAACCTTTGAGTGAATGGTTCTTTGTGGAACCAAAAATGGTTCTTCTATGGCATCGCTGTGAAGAACCTTTTGAAGCACCTTTATTTTTAAGAGTGTACACACTATACTCAGTCACGCAATGCTGATGTTGTTAACATTAATAATTTCAGAATAAAATATAATAATAATAATTTGCACAGTTTGATGTGATATGAGCTAACCAATGTTTAGATTGAATCACCATTGGCAGAGTGATTTATTGTAATGCTTTTTTCCTCAGTTGGTCAGAACAAACGTGGCAGGCTTGTTACTTGTTCAGATGACAATATCCGGTGAAAATTCTTATTTGGGTCATATATTCCAAGACGTAGGCTAGAATCTGTGAGTGCGAAGTACATTAAATAGGGGTGCTCCGATTGATTGGCTACCGATCACGATTGGCCGATAATCACGTTGGGATGTTTGATCGGCGGTCTCTAAAAAGGCAGATCACAAAAAAACGATCTCAAGCTGATGACGCTGCCGTGAGAGGTTTGGCACGACATGCAGCATCACCATCTCAGTCTCTATCCGGTGTACCGACGAAACAGCCTACCTATCAGATTGTGCTACCAAAAATATATTTGCATTGTTTTATGGGTAAGCTTAGGGTAAGGGTAGGTATGGACAGGTAGGTTTAGAGTAGGGGAAGGTATGGACATAAAAAAAAGCCTCAAACCACAGAAATAAGATGCTGGTAGCACAATCTGATAGGCAGCATTTTTCGCAATCGATTTGTGCAATCAATCTTTTTAATGGGAGGTAGCACAATCTGAGCGGGTAGCAAAAATCGTCAGATTTACGGGTAAAATTAGTACCACCGCTCCCTATACGCAGAGTATGCTAGGGATGGGGAGTTGACTGACTGACACGACTGACTCCAAAACAGTCGATTCCTCGACTCCTAATAGCCCTAGAGTCGGAGTAGACTCCAGCTCTGGAATCGACTCTCGGTGTCGACTCCAAAATCGCTGATGTCTTCACTGATTCTTAAATCCCTATAGTGCATGCATGGCAGTTGAGTGCTGTATTATATCAGCAAAGAGTGAACGAAATTAAGGGAGGATCCGTTTGCAGTGCAGTCCATGTGCAGTTCTTAGCCAATGCAGTGCAGAAGCAGCACGGGCTCAGTGTGCTCTATTTTTAGTGTGCTCAGTGGCACTATGATCCGCGGCTAATTTTGGGCGGGCCTGGGCAAAAATGAGTGGGCACTAGGCTAACGGACAGAGGCCAGTGGCACAGCGCAAATCCACGGCCCCCAACTGCAAACTCAATGGTCGATGGGTTGGGGGTCAGGATAAGTCACAATATTGTAAATATTTGTTTTAAACCAGGAAGCTGAGCCAATGGATATCACACAAGCAACGTGCAAACTTTGCGCAAGAGTTATGCGGTGAACCTCTTAATCTCATTTGATTAACTAGAAAGTGAAAGTAAAAACTGATGGCGCTTTCGGCATCTGACGCTGCATTAACAGAGCACATTCTCTCATAGTGACGACGAGAGACAAATCTCCTTCATATGCTGATAATGGTAGCCTATATGGCTAAATGTTTTAATGTACTCCTTTAATATTTCTCTTGTGGCCCGAACATAGGCTAGTGGAATAAATAAAGAAAGAAAGAAAGAAAAAGAAAAAAACGTATTTCGTGTTAAACGGGTTGTTTTTTCTTTTTTTAAAAAGTCGGTGCTTGAAATAAAGCTTTTGCGTTGATGATTGCAGTGTTAATAATTTTAATTATAGGTCTAATTCATTGTATAATAAACCTGTTTTGAAAGACCTTTTTAAAAACTAGCTAGTCTATTCTTTATCCTCTATATATATATGGCAAATTAATTATTAATTTAATAATAAAAGTAACTTAATAATAGACTAATAAGAAGAATGTAACTGGCCTAATTGAAAATGGCAAATTAGTTATAGGCTAACTAAAGTGTAGGCTATAAAATTATTTTATTCAGAAATGTCATGTTTGTGATTTTTTTATTTTATTTGTTAATTCGTTATTTAAATTAATAGGCCTACAAATTAGGAAACGTGCAGTTAATCGCCGGCGTCAGTGACAATTTATTTAAAAAAATAAATAAATAAAATTTGGGCTAATCTTTGTGAGGACGACTGGCAACAGCCGGTCTTAAATTCTTTAGACACCGCAAACCAAACGACTTTGAACACTGACTGAAAATACTGACTGAGCTCAAATGACATTCATAATCGGCCTGACAGTGTTTCCCGGCTTCACAGAATGACCCGGTTCACGCGTGACCGTGACCCTAACCCTAGCTCATCATTATATATTTGCAGTAAATACGAACATGGATTGACACGAAAATGTAGTAATTACACCATTAATGCATATTATTAAAGTCTACTGTGTTTCACAGTCAACACACATGGCTTTTTGGCTAGGTTTAAAGGGAAAGAGCACTTTTAGATAAAGAAGGCAATAATAGATTAACCTTCTTTATGAACAGCAGGATTGCTTGTAATAAAGATTTCAATGCAAAAGGAAAGGCAGTAGAGCTGACTATTTCTGTCAATGGTAAGTTTGTGATAATGTAAGAAAAGTAGTTTAAATGTTTTTTCACTTGCTTGAGCAACTTAATATATAAATCTAGAAGTAAATGCAAAAGTAAAAAGCATTGAATAATGTGTTGCTTATATTTATTGTGTTTAAACATGTCTGTGTAAGATCGTATTACTGTCTCTATTTTTAGTGTGCTCAGTGGCACTATGATCCGCGGCTAATTTTGGGCGGGCCTGGGCAAAAATGAGTGGGCACTAGGCTAACGGACAGAGGCCAGTGGCACAGCGCAAATCCACGGCCCCCAACTGCAAACTCAATGGTCGATGGGTTGGGGGTCAGGATAAGTCACAATATTGTAAATATTTGTTTTAAACCAGGAAGCTGAGCCAATGGATATCACACAAGCAACGTGCAAACTTTGCGCAAGAGTTATGCGGTGAACCTCTTAATCTCATTTGATTAACTAGAAAGTGAAAGTAAAAACTGATGGCGCTTTCGGCATCTGACGCTGCATTAACAGAGCACATTCTCTCATAGTGACGACGAGAGACAAATCTCCTTCATATGCTGATAATGGTAGCCTATATGGCTAAATGTTTTAATGTACTCCTTTAATATTTCTCTTGTGGCCCGAACATAGGCTAGTGGAATAAATAAAGAAAGAAAGAAAGAAAAAGAAAAAAACGTATTTCGTGTTAAACGGGTTGTTTTTTCTTTTTTTAAAAAGTCGGTGCTTGAAATAAAGCTTTTGCGTTGATGATTGCAGTGTTAATAATTTTAATTATAGGTCTAATTCATTGTATAATAAACCTGTTTTGAAAGACCTTTTTAAAAACTAGCTAGTCTATTCTTTATCCTCTATATATATATGGCAAATTAATTATTAATTTAATAATAAAAGTAACTTAATAATAGACTAATAAGAAGAATGTAACTGGCCTAATTGAAAATGGCAAATTAGTTATAGGCTAACTAAAGTGTAGGCTATAAAATTATTTTATTCAGAAATGTCATGTTTGTGATTTTTTTATTTTATTTGTTAATTCGTTATTTAAATTAATAGGCCTACAAATTAGGAAACGTGCAGTTAATCGCCGGCGTCAGTGACAATTTATTTAAAAAAATAAATAAATAAAATTTGGGCTAATCTTTGTGAGGACGACTGGCAACAGCCGGTCTTAAATTCTTTAGACACCGCAAACCAAACGACTTTGAACACTGACTGAAAATACTGACTGAGCTCAAATGACATTCATAATCGGCCTGACAGTGTTTCCCGGCTTCACAGAATGACCCGGTTCACGCGTGACCGTGACCCTAACCCTAGCTCATCATTATATATTTGCAGTAAATACGAACATGGATTGACACGAAAATGTAGTAATTACACCATTAATGCATATTATTAAAGTCTACTGTGTTTCACAGTCAACACACATGGCTTTTTGGCTAGGTTTAAAGGGAAAGAGCACTTTTAGATAAAGAAGGCAATAATAGATTAACCTTCTTTATGAACAGCAGGATTGCTTGTAATAAAGATTTCAATGCAAAAGGAAAGGCAGTAGAGCTGACTATTTCTGTCAATGGTAAGTTTGTGATAATGTAAGAAAAGTAGTTTAAATGTTTTTTCACTTGCTTGAGCAACTTAATATATAAATCTAGAAGTAAATGCAAAAGTAAAAAGCATTGAATAATGTGTTGCTTATATTTATTGTGTTTAAACATGTCTGTGTAAGATCGTATTACTGTACTGTGTAAAAAAAGAATTGCAATGCTGAAAAAGCATTTTCAGTAAGTGTTTGGATTTGAAATTAAAATGGACAAATGTTGTGTTTGTGGTAAACAGCCATGGATCAGTAGCGAACTCCTGTGTGAAAGCTGCTTCCCCTCTCACAAGCGACACCTAAGAGGGGAATTCCCCCCATTTTCAAAAATTAAATTCAGGCCCTGAATAAATGTTATCACAATAAATAGTCATAAATGATAAAAAAATAAGGCTTTAAAAAGATCGGTATCTGTGATCGGTATCGGCAGATACTGCTTTCTGGGATAGGCGATCAGCCTCAAAAATCCTGATCAGAGCACCCCTAACATTAAATGTCCACACTGGTGCGGTGACTGACTGCCACACATACTCCTCAAAAGATTAGATTAATCCGCGCTGGCTCACAACCCACACAAGGAAGATAATTCCACACACAGCTGCAATTGCAGGTTTTCAAACAGAGATGGCGACAGAGAGGCAAAACTTACGTACTGCAGCTTTAAATGAATAGTTTTATAAATTAATTTCATTAGACAAACAATAATAAGTAATATGCATTAAATCATAAAACACAGAATCCAGAAAAAATAAATAAAGTGGAAAACACAGAATTTAGGGAAAGATAAAATGGCTTTCATGGTGTCCTAATTTAAAAGGTAACCTGGGCCCGTAAGAATAGTCTTAAGCTTCGACTTAAATGTCAAAAAATTCTTAGTAAAAAGACTTTTCTAAGAGTAGGATACTTTTATAAAGACGCTAAAAGCAACTTTCAGTAAAGTCTAAGACTGATTCTTAAGTGTTGACTGAGGTGACACTTAAGTGTTGTGAACTAAGGACTACAATGATGTCAACACAAAATGGCCGACCTCGACCTCTGAATCAGCCAATAGTGAGCCTGCTCATGTAAAGTCAGAGCAGCACAACACCAATCATTTAATGTAACTACAATAAAATCATTTAATTAAGACTGAAATATTTTAATTTAAATGTATTTTTAAATGCTTTGCATTGTGCAAAATTATCACAAATTATTACTAATGCTTTGTTTAATGGTATGTCTCCTCATTTACAGTTAGAGCAATGATGTGAACATGAGTTCCATCAACGGCTCCAGTAACTCCAGGAAAGCCCACAATCCTCACAAAAGTTGTTTTTGCAGTATGGTTTGGCAGTCAGTTGAAAATGTAATAAACTGCCATATAGCAGTGACCAAAAGTGATGTCCGGCCTAGGAAATGACATTTTCATCCTTAATTTAAAAAACAATGTGCAAGATTTTGTAAGCATATTGCATAGTTGCTTAGTCAGTTGTTTTATTTGTGATAATAATGCAATGAAACAAGCCAAATTTTGCGGTCATAATTTTTTGCCCATGCTATCATACAAATAAATTATGAACACATGCAAAAACAAGAGGACCAATGAAATGTAAATAACGTATGTTGTAGTCAATGTGCCAATTTAGTGATTTTGTCACTAGATTTAGTGACTTCCGCATCCCTTTAGAGACTTTTTTTCAAAAGCCTAGCAACAAAATCAATTTCTTGGACAAACGTCATCTACATTCCGAGACTCTCCCATGACGTCATAAAGGCGAGTTCACTGATCTTATATAAATATAGATCAGAGAACTCACCTTTATGAGGTCATCTAGCAACATTAAGTGACCAGTTTTAGCTACTTTCAATTGAAAGCAGTTGGCAACACTGGTCAGTGTTTTTTCCCCTTTGTATTTTAGTGGTTTAAGTGAAATGTGGGGTCATAAATTTGTTTTTTCAAAACATCACTTTTGGTCACTGTTGTGTTTGGTGGGGTTAGTGCCACAATATGTAAGAACCTGTTTACTGTGTCATCACCGGTGCATTGCTGCATTTTTCCAATTTTCCAGCCAAAAAAATAATAATTACTACTACTTTCATTTCTGCTGTTAGAGCATTGACTTGTTGAGTGGAAGAGGTTATTACATTTTTTACTTTATCAGTTAAAGTTATCATCAAAAAATAAAGTTAAGTTTGTATCCTTTTATCAACTCCATATTATCATACAAGTCCAATATATTTTAGCTGGAAAGGGTCTCCTCTTTGCTGCCATCTTATTACTCCTAACTAGGTTAGGAGACCTCTCCAGCTCTCTTAAATAATTTAGGAGCCGAGACCTCTTTTAACACTTAGGAACCTTTATGAATCACTCTTATTCTTAAGTCTAGGAATAAGAGTAAAATGACGTCATTCTTAGAATTTTGACACACTTAAGACTAAACTTTTACTTTGAGCGGCTTTATACATACGGCCCCTGGAAATGAATTGTTAACAAGCTAGTTGTTTACATTCACTCTCAGGATTTAAGAAACATGTGGAAAGCATTTCCTTCCTCATTAATGGTAAGTGAATATTGTCACAAATACAACATTGTGTGTGTATATACAGGTGCATCTCAATAAATTAGAATGTCATGGAAAAGTTCATTTATTTCAGTAATTCAACTCAAGTTGTGAAACTCGTGTATTTGTGAAGTTCACTCAAATTCTTGAATCGATTTTGCTTGTCAATCCTCATAAGGCTGCGGTTCTCTCTGTTGGTTGTGCATCTTTTTCTTCCACACTTTTTCCTTCCACTCAACTTTCTGTTAACATGCTTGGATACAGCACTCTGTGAACAGCCAGCTTCTTTGGCAATGAATGTTTGCGGCTTACCCTCCTTGTGAAGGGTGTCATTGATTGTCTTCTGGACAACTGTCAGATCAGCAGTCTTCCCCATGATTGTGTAGCCTAGTGAACCAAACTGAGAGACCATTTTGAAGGCTCAGGAAACCTTTGCAGGTGTTTTGAGTGGATTAGCTGATTGGCATGTCACCATATTCTAATTTGTCGAGATAGTGAATTGGTGCGTTTTTGTTAAATGTGAGCCAAAATCATCACAATTAAAAGAACCAAAGACTTAAACTACTTCAGTCTGTGTGCATTGAATTTATTTAATACACGAGTTTCACAATTTGAGTTGAATTACAGAAATAAATGAACTTTTCCACGACATTATAATTTGAGATGCACCCGTATACACATATAAGGACAGTCAAATAATTCTAGATTTCTTTTCCTACCTTGCATGATGAGCTGTCATTCTTTGTTGGCAATGGTATGTTTGCTCCCATTCTATAAGAAAGTAACATATTTGCATGTTATACATGTCATACAGGGATGTTTATGCATCTGTGTGCTCCACTGAAAAGTACATGTCATGCTGGATGTGGGTGTGACTGCTCACACAGGCCCTACACGCAGCTTATCAGTATTTTAATAGAAAACATAACATCAGTGCTGAATGCAAAAATATGAAGAACACAAACAAGCACTGACCCCTGCAGCCAGCTCTTAAAGAAGCCCATCTCCGGCTGATGCAGCACAGATGGATTGTCTTTGCACATCTGCACAAAGGCCTTTAACTCCGTCACTTTCCGCGAATCCATATTCCACAGCACGAACCGAGCTCGCGCAGAGAAAACAGTGTGCTGGAAAACAAGGAAACGTGAATTATTATTCCCGTGTTATGACTTGTCCGAGCAGCGCGAGGCCTTAATGATTTACGCAACGCCAAAAACGCACAGGAACCAATGCAACAGCGCAGCAAATAACCAATTAACGTTAGTGCTGCACGGGATTAACGCATAGAAGCTTCTGGAAATAATGCGCGAGGAAGAGCCCTTTGTTAAATCAGCGTGGTATTTCAATTATTCTATTATTCAACTGTCTCAATATACGCTCATTTAAAAAATAAAACATTAATGCTGTACCTGAAAGAGCTAAAACGCGCTTCCCCGGCAGCGATTTGAGTGTCGCGAGATCGAGGCAGTGAACGCGAGACCGCGAATTGTGCGCAGGCGGGAATTAAACTCCTCACAAAACCAAAACAACAGGGGTCCTTTCTGGCATCGCCTTCATTTCGGCGCAAATACAGAACATGTCAAAGACCTACTTTATGGTTGTGGAAAAATATACTCTAAGCTTTTTAAAAAAAAACATTAAACAGTTTTAATTAATTAGCTGAACTTGATTCAATTCTCCGTAAATAAATACATTCGCTAATGGCAAGTCGAACGTCTTTATATGTACTTCTGTATATGATTTTTAAATATTTTGTGAGCGTGCAATTATCTTTGTTTGGAAATGTGCTAGTTTATTCAAGAAAAGACACAAATCGAAGATGCACTGTTCTGGTTTTCATAATTATGTCCCAGTGCAATTATTATTATTTTGTTCAATTGTTACCTCTTTTAGGCAAATTGTATATACATCAAATATACATAAATCTATATGTAGGAGCAAAAGGTTTTGTTTTATATCAAAACAGCAATAAAAAAAATACAAAAATAAAAAATGGTAAAAAGTTACGTTTGTTTTTTAATACAGCATACGCAAGATTGGAACGCCACAAAAAGGGTCCTCCTTTTTTATGATCACAAAGTGTTATATTTTGTTAACTTAGAATTTGGCGATGCTCGTATAAGCTCTTGTGATAATGCCCGTATGTCCGCTCTTTCTCATACTGTTAATACTTGTTGGATTCATTCATTTACACAAAAAAAGGGGTCTTCTATGATTCAGAGTCGCAGATTGTAACTGTCATAACAGAGCTGTCCAATCAGAGCGCTGGAGCCGCTCTCAGGCCACCAATAGGAGCTCAGAGGGTCTTACATGGGCGTGACACTGTCACCTTCCACGCGATCTCGCTCACAGTTGTACGGTTAAGAGTAAAAGCTTACACGTGCAATGCTCTTTTAGTATGTTACCTTTAGGTTAACCATCCCAAATCATTTCGGTTTATGTATTTGTAATTGCACTCGTTTCTACCTCATGCTGAGAGTTGGTGGATCAGTACAGCTGATCAGAAATCTCGCATGCTTGCGACAATGTTGCACTCCAGCAGCGGTATACTGATGTCCGCCGTCCTGCGCGCTACTCGCTCTCGCTCTCGCTGGAGTCCAGGTAATGCGTTATAGTTACACTTGTTTGTGGATCTGCTAAGTATTAATTTAACTCATAGCTGAGTGTTGGGGACATGGCAGGAACCTCGCTGCTGCTGATGTGTGTGAAGAAAAGCATTGTACTAGGATTGTGCACAAGCTGTTTCTTTTCCCATATCCAAAACCAGAATTAATATGATGTTTATGATTAGGCACCGATGAATACATCTGCATTGGAAATCACCAGTCACCACCCTGACCTCATCATGTGCATGATACCACTTATTATGTCTGATCCTCTAATGCCTGTGTATTTTAAAGCTATTTGCACCCCAACAAAAGATCTTGCATTAGCTGTTACAGTCCATGTTTCTAAGTTTATGTAAAATCAAAATTGATCCCTTATAATATAATATAGGTTGTTAACATTAACATGTACCAGTTAACATTAAATAACATTAACTACCTTTTACATAACATAATTACATAAAATATATTAAAATAGAAAACAGTTATTCCACAATTTATGTTTTATGAGATTACTGTTTTTACTGTATTTTTGATCAAATAAATGGCCGCAAATTTTTGAACGGTAGTGTACATCAAATCACGCAAGTGAAATGCTTTGCAAATACAGTTTACTGTCGCTTTGTTTTGTTTTACAGGGTCTGTATGGTGTCCATGCAGGAGTGTGTCTGTGAAAACAGGAGGATGGAAAACCAAGACAGTTCCTCAGAGATACCTGGGTCAGCCAAGCCCATACACACACCCTCACCTCATCGGATGTGGTGAGAGAGAACAAGATTGGGCTCCTTTTCAATTCTTTTCATTTGAAGTCAACATAAAATCAAAACTGACCTTTATGACTTTCACGATGTATAATCTTGGTGAACAGTTGGTTGTACACATTTTTACAAAGACAAAAAATGTGTTTGTAATTTTTAACTAAAATGTAACGGCTTGCTTCACCTCTGAAACAACTTTCATTTTTGTCTGATGTCACTTAGGCCATGCAGACTATTGGTTTATAGAGTAAAATAGCTATTTAGCCCTTGTTTTAGATAATACTGTTGTAGATAATAAAGCCTTTACAAATCTGTTTTAATATATTTTATATATGTAATTAATATATTCCTGATGCAAATCTGAATTTTCAGCATCATTAGTCCAGTCTTCAGTGTCACATGAATGATCCCTCAGAAATCATTCTAATATGCTGATTTGATACTCAAGAAACATTTCTTCTTATCAATGTTGAAAGCAGTTGTGCTTCTTAATGTTTATGGAAAATATACATTTTTTCTAAAGAATAATTTGATTAATAGAAAGTTCAAAAGACCAGCATTTATCAAAATAGAAATCTTTTGAAACATTATAAATGTCTTTGCTGTAACTTTTGAGCAATTTAATGAATTCTTGCTAAGTAAAAGTAATAAATTATATATATATATATATATAAAAAAAGACTGATCCCAAACTTTTGAACTGCAGGGTTGTTTAATAATCTTGCAAATGTCTTCGTCTCATAGGTGAGGTGACGCCAGGTCTCACCCAGACAGAGTTTGAGTTTCGCCGGCAGCGCTTGGCGTCTCTGATCGAGATGCAGGCAGAGCGACTAACAGGTTCTGGAGCCTCTTCAAACTCCTCCCACATTGTCATCGTCCTATCGCATCCCATTCGCTACATGACCAATGACATCCCTTACCCGTTCCACCAGAACCAGGACTTCCTGTACCTGACAGGAATTATGGAGCCGGACAGTGCACTGGTGATGTACGGATCGGGTAAGCCGGACCAGGTCGTGTTATTTGTCCCACGGCGAGACCCGGCACGAGAGCTCTGGGACGGCCCTCGCTCGGGGAAAGATGGGGCAGCTGCTTTAACGGGTCTAGAACGGGTTCACAGCACAGAGGAGCTGGGTGTAGTGCTAAAAAGCTTGAAAGGTAAAAAAACGAACATACATTTACATGCATTCAAGGTTTACATTTGCATCAGTATCTTAACTTTTTATTCTCTTAGGAGGAACTATATGGTACGACAGCTCTCAGCCTTGCCATCCACGGTTACACCAGACTCATGTGTGCCCCCTATTGGAAGGAGGAAGGCTGACGAAGTCTCTCCGACCCCTCACTCATTCCCTCAGAGCCATTAAGAGCCCAGCAGAGGTTGCTCTGATGAAGGAGGCAGGACGGATCACTGCCCAGGTAATGAATCTCATATAATAATAATAATAATAATAACAGTACCATATGTTGTGGCAAATTACTTTAAAGGAAGGTTTGGGTCATCTTGGGTGACTTCGCTAGGTTAAGGAAAGAAAGATGTTCATGTAAAGTCTGAGTGAATGGATCATTTCAGTTATGAGGGACTTGATGTAGGTCAAACATGCATTATATTGAGCCATGTGTTTATCTTCAGGCATTTAAGAAGACGATGGCCATGTCAAGAGGAGACACTGATGAGGCAGTTCTCTATGCAAAGGTGAGCAGAGGGACTAAAATCATGCAAAGACACTAGGGCCTATTTAGAAAAGAACAAGAATTAAAAATAGAAGAATTGTTCTGTTCCTTGTGCTTGTAAAATGAATCCCCGGGAAACAAATGTTAGTATTTTTAATGGGTCACAGACACTTATCCTTTCTAATTTAATTCAATTCTAATTTAAAATAATCTTGTCAGTTAACGGTTAACAATCGGTTAACAAGCGTCGGTTGACGGTTAGGAAAAATAACCGAAATGAACATCCCTAAAACACACATAAACAGTCCATTTAAACAAAAGATTTAGTGTTTTGCAACCTGTACCCTATTGTATATTTGATATATATATATAGAAAGTGAAAGTGACATGTGGCCAAGTATGGTGACCCATACTTGGAATTAGTGCTCTGCATTTACCCATCCAAAGTGCACACACACAGCAGTGAACACACACAAACCGTGAACACACACCCGGAGCAGTGGGCTGCCATTTATGCTGCGGCGCCCGGGGAGTTGGGGGTTCGGTGCCTTGCTCAAGGGCACCTCAGTCATGGTATTGAAGGTGAGAGAGAGCGCTGTACATTCCCCCCCCCCCCCTACAATCCCTGCCGGTACGAGACTCGAACCCACAGCCTTTGGGTTATGAGTCCGACTCTCTAACCATTAGGCCACGACTTCCCATATATATATATCAACCTGCCATACCAATTAAGACCACAGGGAGATGCCAAAGGACTGCATATAAACTACTATATGGATCCATTCAGAATCGCTAAACGCATCAAAATACAAATGAAAACACTCTGATTGTGTGGAAACTCAGTGATCTGATTCTGAAGGCTGCTCAACATCAGCGTATGATACCCGTATGTACATAAACACCACTGATTCTCACAAACTTCTCCAAAACATGTTTCTTCGGCGAGCATCCATTATAAAACACATAAATTGACAACTACGTGAATATACTGAACTGAACTGTGTTTATGCAGAAATATAATGTTATAGTAATCAGTTCGCCGAGAGCCCAAATACGTGGTTCATTTGCGCATCAATAATAATAACAGACACATGTGCGCCTAATGTACGACTCCTGTATGTTACTATAATCGTCATCCATCAAAACTTTACTAGCTAAAGGAAGGTTTGGGTCATCTTGGGTGACTTCGCTAGGTTAAGGAAGCGAAGTCACTGGCTTATTTATCCAGCCGAGAGCTGTAGTTTGTGTATCATATGCTCATGCAACGGTCGGGTGTTTCACAGAATACGTACAAGAGAGGTGGTGCTGTTATTTTGTAAATTAAAAAAAAAAT